ATTCTCCAAACACTACTTTTATTTCTTCTTTTTGATTCACAGTATGCTCTTACGAAAATTCTCTGAATTCCTCATATCTACTTCCTAGAAATCATACTCTATTTGTTCTAACTGTACTTTTGATAACACGATAGTTTCTTTTAGCCAAAAGGAATTTAACCTTTATGTCAGATGAGTATCCTACTTCCACCCTGAAGAAACTGCAACACTCATTTGTTTTTACATCATAGACTGTAAATCCAGTGCCATTTTGTATATTTTGCTGCTGTAGACTCAAAGAAGCGCTTCAGCCATTAATCAATGATTACAATTTCAGTCACAACTTTAAATAGTTCACCAGATACTTTGAATTCTAACACTGTACTAGGTATTAAGGCACGATATAAAAGATGAAACTAAAATCTTTGGCTTGCTTGGCAAATTCATGCAGAGGTTTATCTTAGAAAGCTTTTCCCTATTTACTCTCTGTATACAAATGTATGCTGTATTTCTGTCAGTGCCACTGCATCAGCTGAAGACCTTGGTTACTTTGATTTTTTTACACTGCGAAACATGTAGGTTGTTCTTATTATCATATGTCTCCAAAAAACAATGCACTGCTATTAGAACATCTTGTCATAAAGCTCTGCTAACTGAATGGTAATTTGTACTGGAATAACCCTGTGTGTCACAGATCGCTTCTGAGTGAGTGAGCAGTGAAAATGGAGTTGCATTTAATGCAGCAAGATGTTACACTCTATCTTTTCCACTCCTTACTGTTCCTCTTTCTACTCCACCCTCCTCCTAAATATGCAGATCTAGATTAAACCAATAGTTCCCAATCAAAAAAGACAGACATTTCTATAAATGTTGCTTCAAAAAAAAAAGGAAGCAATTTCTCCAAGGTGGGAATCTTGGTTTTTGACCACCTGCCCAGAAATGTGTGTGATCAGTCTAGCTCAATAAAAAGATTTCTTTCCATCTAAAAGTCTATCTTACATAAAATCTGAATGTCAGAGTGCTATTAACCATCCTTGTCCTTCAAGCATTTCTTTATTGTTTCTTACATTATTCACGACACCAAAAACAGGTTAAGACAAAATACTGAGACACATTTTCTGAAACTGAGGTTAATTTGATAAGAGATTATTTCTATCTTGGCACTGCTCTACAGTAAAGCTGGGAAGGGGAAGGCTCAAAGTATATTTGGGCCCCTTCTACACCAAATCTTGAAATCAAGATATAAGGCCTATATATCCTTTAATGAAAACATGTTAGGGACAGCTGAAAGTATTGTCTCTAGTTTCTAAACACTTTTGCTTTGATGTTTTTTCACACATAGGACTATATTACATATTGCAAATCCTCCAATAATTTCTTCCAGCAGAAGGAAGAGTTTGGATAAGATTGCAGCCTCAGTTTATAGTAAAATTTATTTCAGAAGTATATTTTTTCTTGCTTAATTTCTCCTATTGTATAAATTCTTAACATGAAACCGAATTATTACTGATTCTTTGCAAATTTCAAAATTCTATTCAGTAAGAAAAGGATTTAAATGCCCATTTGAACTAGGCAAATTCTGTGACAAACTATTCTTTCAGCAGACTTAATTCAGTACTTTGTTAAATGTTCCATTCATTCTTTCAACACCCTTTCTTTCACAGCTATGGGCTGCAATTCTGGCTGTATATCTTCATTAAAGATTATTCGAAATCAAGATACAGAAAAGCCTAAGAAAGGTTAGCTCACGTTGATGGACATAAATATTCACACAGCCAGGCAGATTCAACCTGTGCTGCTCAGAAGCTGTGCAGCTTCAGCAGCACCATCCTTGAGCTAATTGTACACAGCCTCTCAGCAGGAGAATGACAGTCTATCTTGTAAGTGGAGAATAAATGAAAAAGACTTGTTTTGCCTAAAAAAGCAAACAGTGAGAGAAAATATGACTGCTATCTTGAAGCACACTTAAGCTTAAGGGCACAGCTGGCAAAAGAACAAGTGAGTAGAAACTTACAATGAACATGCTCAAGCTGCAAAACAGAAGATTTCTATCCAGTAGAACACAAAGGCTTTTATTTGCTTTCCAGCAGTGTTTTCCACTCAGTTTTTCTAGTTTTATCATAGCACTTCATAAGTTTATGAAGGATCACATAAATTAGATACCCATTGTAGCAGTGGTTGGACTGGATGGCTCTTTGAGTTCTTTGCTTGGCAGATGTGTGAAAAAATATGAATTATACCATACATGTCATCTTGTAACTAGCATATCTACCTATTTTCATATCATGGATCTGACTTTGAACACAGACTGGAAACCAAAGATGTATTCAACATCCTCCTCCTGCAGAAATGGCTGTCCAAGCTTTCTAATTCAGATTACCTATGCAATTTAAAAAGTCCTTTACCTATTTTTAACTAAAAAGAGTATCATGTAATCAAGCTAACTGTACTTCTGAAATATATGTCACTTCCACACTGTGATGTGCTGATTGGACAGGTTCAATTGCACTCTTATTGCAAATGCAAGAAAATGATGCATCATCAAACTTTTGACTTCAAAACCAAGACACCATTTAATAAAATTAATTGCCTCCAAAGAATCACTGCCACTTGCTGTCAAATACTCCTAAAAATTTTGGCACCAATAGATTTGTTCTATAAATAAATAGGTGCTACTAGAGGATGCAACTTGCTACTATTATCTTTAGATTAAATTAAGTAAATGGAAATACGTGAAAAGGAAAACTTCTGTCAAAAGAGATTCCTGGAGGGCTTTTCAATTATTTTTTTTAGGGCCTGAAAAAGCGGAAAGAAAAAGGAGGCATTTCCAAAGAAAGATTCAGGTCTACCTTAGGTCCTGAAATTGCCTTGAAGGTCTGTCTTAAAACACTGATGGATCATTAGATATGAATACAATAACTTTAATATTCCCTGAATAGCAAATCAAAATTTCCACAGTTTTAATCCAGCTCTTCTTTTTTGGTCATGTTTTCACTCACCTGCTGCTGTGTCTGGAATAGTCTGATTTTTCATGTAGTCTCATTTTCATGTAACTCAGGTACTATTTTTGTAAGAGTATTCCATAGTTCTGTCATGATTTAACCCCAGATAACAACCAGGCACCACCCAGTCACTCACTCACTCACTCACTCACTCACTCACTCACTCACCCCCAGTGAGATGAGGGAGTGAACTGGGAGAGTAAAAGACTGAAAACTCTCAGGTTGAGATAAAGACAGTTTAATAGATAAAGCAGAAGCTATACATACAAACTACACCAAAAAAATAAAAAAAAATTCATTCACTGCTTCTCATCAGCAGGTGTTCAGTCATCTCCAGGAAAGCAGGGCTCCATCATGTGTGACAGTGACTTGGGAAAACAAATGCCATCTCTCCTTCCAGTACCCCATACCTTGAAGTGGGATGTTTCCAGCACACAGGACCTGAAATGTGGTGAGGAAATGGTAAGGAAACTACCTTTCTTAGATTTCCTAAATGCTGTGATACCTATGGATTAGGGAATCCCTGTAAATTGCGAAGTGTGTTGTATGAACACTGCTTATAAAATATACAAGTAAAGGGCTTTCTAATATTATTGCTGTTTTAATTTACAGTAAATAGTTCATTTACTGCTTTAGAGGACTTTATTTAATTTCTTTAGTTTTCTATAAATACATGATAATATCTTGTGAGAGACTGGACTCCTAATGACTAATGACTCAAAACATCTGCCTATCTGTGGAGGTGGCAGTGTGCTTTACTGAGGCCAGGTTTGTATCCCTTGAGAGAGATAAAGTTTTGGGTGTGAAATGGTTAGACTTCTCTCTCTTTTTTTCTTTCTTTCACCTTATGCATTTTCTTGAGAAATATTTTTTGTCCTTTCATATTGCTATATTTCTGTATATAATAACAAAAATACAGCCTACATTCTTGCTTTCAACTGCAAAAAATTTGTTCTAGAATAAACCCTACATATATCTATATATTTATATATATTTACAAACACCAATCCTTCAGCATCATTTCATTCTAGTCAGCCCCAAGGGATCTATTAACAAAACCTGGGTTACTCCTGCCTTTCTGGGGGCAGCTGGTAACATATGTTAGAAGGTATTTCATTAAATACCAAACAGCTGGGGAAAAAACAGATGTTCCACTAAGGTTAACAGAAAGAAAAGTGCTTTCCTCTTCAGATGTAAAATGAGTTATGCAGAATAGAAGGTCTGAATACAAGTGGTAACACTTACAAATTTTAAAATCCTAGATTTAATCTAAACCCAGTCAGACTACCAGATGGCTCTCTTAGAAAACAAGGAATTTTTGCTAGAGTTCCCCAAGTACATACATCTCTGGAGAAAGCTTTAAAATTTATTTCTCCATAATTTCTGCCGTTGTTTTGCATTTAACTTTGCAATTACAGATAACTTTCTAAAATATTTCTGCAGTATTTTGTAGCGCTTTTCTTATCAATTCAAAATTATTTATTTGTGCACATATAAGAGTTTTTACTTTCTTCTTTATCTTGCTCTAAATAATTTAACTTAGAAAAAAAATCTATTCAAATGTTTCCGAATAACAACAGGCATTCTGCCTTGGTAAATTTGAATAAGAGAGAAAATACCCCTAGCCATACTCAGAGATCTTAAAAAATGTTTTTAATCAAAATTTTGCCCCAAACTTGAATTTCCTAATTATTTTACTTTTTCTCATTCTTATGTGTGATACAAGCACCTACCTGAAGGATATTCAAGAGCATGAATCCATGGGTAACAGATACAAAAAAAAAACCAATCTATGAAAGGAAAATATTACTTTTCAGTGCAGTGAGAAAATAAAGATTGTGTGTGTCCATGTGTTACAAGATCTAAATCTTATTTGTGGATCAAGTTTATTATTCTTTCTAAAAGAAACAAAAATTCCATTCCTCATTTGGTTCCTATGCTTCATTCTGTTTTCAGAGCAAGCTCTGTCAGCTATGAGGCACACCCATAGCAACAGACATCTTAGGGTTCTATTATCCAAGGATGGAATAATCACAGTACTCCTGGAACAGATATCCCCTCTGAGATACATACAGGTCCTTATTATTTATGTTCAAATCACAGTGTACTTTCCAAATGGGCCAAATTGAGATTTTTCACAGCTCCAGTAGAAAACTTCTAGATGGAAAGGTAATGTCTTATATGAATTTTGTGTTTCTTACCAAAATAGCGTTGTACTTTCCTTAAGGTTACCCTGATAAATCAGCCAGCTGAACATAAAAAACCAGTCCTCCAGATTATTATTAGTGATATACTTGGAATGCAAAATTTTATCTCAGATTGTTAAAGTTAAGCAGATATTTATGACTTTAATTGTGTAATTAAAAGTATACAGAAATAATTTTAAAATTGTCACTGGAATATCCAGGTAAATTTTTATTCTACAAAGGACTTTTATAAAGGCAGCAAAAAATATTTTTTACATAAGAAATAGGTAAAACAAGCAAAACTGCTTTGAAGAAGTGCAGGACACATAAATCTGCCTTGTAAATTAGGCTGCAAAGTATTTTTAAGATTTTGCTAGGTAAAAACCATATTATTTTCTTTTGTGATATTTTCTGAATATAACTTCCATTTATCTATATGAAAAAATGCTTGGTGTATAAAATAGCAATTCAGTGGCTATATAGTGTCTAAGAAGAACTTTAAATTCGTTTTCAAGCTATACATCAGTTTAATACTTCAAGAGTATTTGAAGTATTGAATTTAAAGGTTTGGGATTTTTTCCAAAATAACACTAAGCTGTCCTATAAAGCTCTGTTGCATGATATAATATGGTGAAGTTAAATATTATCATTCTGAGCTCATAAGAAACTTCAGCTGCATTCAAAGTATAAACATGTAAAATACTGACCGCATTTCAACTACCATTTAGACTTCTCTCTTCTTCAGAGCAGTATACCTGAAAACTGTCTTACTTGGATTAACTTTGAACGTTAAAAAATGTAACCTAAACCAGATGGCTGCGAAAATGACTGAAAACCGACGGAAAGATGCGAATTGCAAGTTTCACCAATAGACCGTATCAATCACAATGACATTGCCAATTACTCACTTTAACAGCCTATGTCCATTTGGCATTTTTTCCAAACAGATTTCATTTAGAACACCACTGCATTGGCGACTACATACACATACTGAGACAGGAGGTGAGACTGAGCCCATCCAGTGCTCTTCCCTCTCCTGCCAAAAAACAGTCAGAAAAATCTCCCTTTTACTCTTCTGATTTGGAGCCACATGGCTCTAGTTTTGTTTTCCTTCCCACAGTTCTTGTAGACAGATCTCTTTCTGCAGATTCAATCTATTTCAGCTATTGACTTTTGGGTTTGAGGAAAAATTTAAACTAAAATTGGCTTAGACCATCATGATAGAGTCTTGGCCAAAAGAATGGTTGCTGGTTTTGGCCTTTATTGTAGCACAGCTTCACAGAAATGGAAGTTGATAAATTATCAACATTAGGAGTTTGACAGAAATTGATAGTATTTTAGAAACATTGACAGAGAACACTGAGGCCATTTTTCTGCATGCCTACAGGTTAGTGATGCAAAGAAAAATTAGACAATTTAGGTCAAGTAATAATACAATTTTAAATCATAATAATAATATGGTATGTACATATTGAATTTATCGCAAATTAACACCTTAACGTATTAACTAGAACAACTGAGACATTTTGAAAATATGTAATTAAATATGTTTCAAAAATATGTAATTAAAATGCAAAATATATTATTACAGCAGTGATTCTCTCAAATATCTCCAAGGCTGCTGTTCCTAGCCTTCATAATACTGTATTCCTGCCAGGACATACTTAGATGAACAAGGTAAAAAACTGATTTGGGTTTAGCAATCCAGCCTCTACAGAAAAGCTGTGTGATTTCTGCTTGACTGATCTCCTGACACTAACCAAAGATAACATGAGTTAATTGGGCCCTATGCTGTCTTCTTCAGTGAAACAAACAATACCACAGGCAGCAATTCCAGATTTTAACTCAGAATCACTGATTTTTAGAGGCATAAAATTATAATATTTGCTGAATCCTTTGTGGATGCAGCCAATTCTGATATTCCTGCAATATTCTCTGTGTGCAGTTGTGTTTGTCTGTATTGCCATCTAAACTTATTGTGTTCTCTTTTCTGAGCTGCTGCTGAAGTCTTCAGAAGAATTTTACTTTTAATCTCTGTCAGTCTCCTAAATTTCATTGACTGTTCTGAAATGTGCTCCACGGTTTCCTGCCAAAATACATAAAAAAGTTCTCCTCAACAGTAGTCAAGCTACTCACCAGCTCACTAAGAAGTGTGAAGTCACTAGTGGCAATACCTGGCAGAAGTGTCCCTACTTGTATATGAACTGCCAAAAGCAAGACATTTCTAGGAAATCTGAAGAAACAAAAATAACTACTGAACTTGGTGACTGTCCTGTACACTATTAAGGCTTTGAGTGAAAGAGAAACCACAGTGTATATTCTTGTCCACAAATATCTAAACTGGTTGTCACTGAACCATGTATATATGACAAAAAGATGCGTGCTTCTCCACTTTTGCAAGCTAGAATCTGAGTGGTATGTGTTGAGACAAGACAAGACACATTATTTCTCATCTCGTCAAAGAGAAACAAATGAATGTCAGGTGCAAAACCAATATAAATAATATGTCACCCATACTTTAAACACCAAGATGTGGAATTCCACTGAGATGCAAGATACAGGATATGAATGAGCTATGGAAGTGTAATTTGCTTTTGGCCAGAATTATATTTAAGGTAATTAACTTTTAAAATACTTGGTAAACTGGTGTTTCAAATATTTAAATATATTGCTTCTTTCAAATGAGGGAAAAAGTGATTTTTTTTAATACACAAGGAAGAAAAAAAGGAGATAATGAACCTTACAGCTGATGCAAAATTGGGGCCTTTTTATTATTTTTCTTATTATAAAGTGTCCTGCATAGTCAGGCAACAAAATTAAATTTGAGTCAGGATCAGAGAGATAGTTGATTTATTGGCCATTCTGACTGACAACATAAGTCTAATTCCATTACTAAGAGATTTTTTTTTTTTTATTTTAAGGGCAGAATAGCCACCAATATGTGACAGAAAGGTTACTAATGAAATGTGTTCTGTCACCAATGTCAGTAACTGCTTACTATAATCTCTGAGATGTGTAATCATTTTGACTATCTTGAAATTATAACATGCTGTTTATCAGATTGATGGACCCCCATTTAGCATAAAAAATTGCTGAATTTTTCTTCTCTTAGATGAAATTAGGATATCATAATTAAAAAGAAAACTTGGCATTATTAACATCATACAAGTGCAAAATCTGGTTTCTTCAGATTCTCGGAGTTAATGTAGGATTTATTTTTCCTGCACGACAGAAAATGAATGTTAAAATTGAGTTTCCGCTCACATAAACTTTGTTGTAGACACATATGGGTAAAAGGGAAAAGCTCATATGGAAGTGCACAGGTACACATAAAACTTGGCTTCTCAATTCAAGAAAATCTTGCATTTGACCTAATTGTATAACATAGCATCTGCACATGGAGTAAAGATGACTAATTTGAGTTTTTAGGCTAAATTAGAGGAGGTGAAATGTTCATTAAGGAAGTGTAATGACTGTGAGGCATAAGTGAAACAATTTAAGTAATTTGATCTTCTTTTGGATTATGTTCTCTTTTGAAAATATTTGGCAGATGTGGGTGCTATTGCCTAGAACATGGATAACTTCTTGCTGCAAGATATTTATGCACAGAATCCTGTCGTTTTGATTGGGAACGGCTTGAAGGAACGACCATGGACTCTCATGGGAGTCACGACACGAGAATTCCTAGTTTATTGCTTCAGCCCTGTCTTATAGACAGATACGTGGAAAAGTACAGAAAGGAAACTCTTATTGGTTAACAAACTACTACACCACCATCATTGGTCAGGGGCACTCTGCCCCCCTTGACTGTCTCTTGCAAGGAGAAACAACAGGTTGCAAAACAACACCTGCAAGGCTGTTTAGTATCTCTGAGAATTGTTTTAATTCCTTCTCATGAATTTCCCAGGCTAGGCTTCAGTCAGGCCTGAGAGCTATGTGGCCTGCAATAACTACAGGCACTCTGGCTCAGATTTAGCATCCATAGAATCCTCCACAGGGAAGTTCCCCAGCTCCCACCATCACCCCAAATGCATCCATCAAATGAGCAGGACCTAGGTTTCTAGGTCCTGGAGTGGGACTTTCGTTACTGGAAAGGAGGTTTAAAGGTTTCAGTCCTCCTCTGGTTGTAGCTACTGAGGAATCAGGGGGTTTAGGATTGTGTTCCAGCCTGTCTGTAGAGTTTTTGCTCAAATAAGGACATCCCTTCACTGACTTGTTTAAAAGTCAGATTCTTATATACTGAGTAGCAAAGATACTTAAAAGTCTAAAAATATGAGACATTACAGTGATGGTATTTATAGAAGTTATACACTGATATTGCAATGCAGTATAGCTGAACTCTCCAAGGAGATAAGAAAACCTTTCCCTCTGTTGGACCAAAATCACCCCAATGACTACAACCTTCACCATAGGATTTACAGCTGGGTTTTTTTGTTCTATTTACAATTAGACCTCTATGATGAATAAACTGAAAGGTGTGTAACAATTTGTATGCACTTGTAATTTTGACAGACCTTGCTCTTCTTCTTGTCCAAGCAGAAGAAAAATTTAATACCTGCTCTGCAGAGATAACTGGTTACTGGAGGCAGATACTCCATAAACAATCCTTCTATTATAGGAAAAAAATGACCTTTTATTGATATGGCAAAGTTTGGGGAGAAGAATTTTGAGCAGAATGTAGAGAAATATGCCACCAGCCAAATAAGAGAACATGCATAAATATGTCTATATATAAATGTCTTCTGACATTTAGATTTTAACAAAGGCCTGTTTCTTAGATTTCTTAAAAAAAAACTCAAACAAATAAACAGTGTCCCCCACACACAATAAAAAATATAATTAGCTGCAATACTTCTTGTGGAAGGACTACTGAAATGGGATGTGCCATTCCTGCTGAGACTAGCATACATCTAAGTCAAGTGTATTTGGGCTGATAAATGCGTCTTTTTTCCAAACATGCACTTTCTCTCTCTAAAAACCTAA